GTGAAAAGTAATCGCAGGCTACAAGCTCTCAAAATTTTGCCAACTGCCACAGAACATCAAAGCATGATGCACCATGGAAGGCTTATGAGGCTGCCCAAAGGAAGGATGAAAACCTCAGACTACAACTAAGATTCTACAAGTCTATCTTTTAAAAATCAACATTTTTATGTGTCCTTAAATAAAAAGGCAAGACTTTTAAATTTCAGCTGTCAAGAATACCATTGCTGGCTATCCAAACACTTCCTTGGTACATCTGAGCTGCAAGGCCCATCCTCAAAGCAGAGGAGGGACTTAGCTTTTGGTTTTACTTACAGGAAAGCAAGAAAATAACTAAATTAACGGTAGATATTTCCTAGTGTAACCCTAAAGCAGCACTGCTTGCCATTCACACACCGTCATGGGTCACAGTAGGACACAGCACCCTGAGCAGGGTGGAACAGAGCCAGAAACTCACTGCTCAAGGAACTTTGGGTCTGGCAATACCCAGCTGCTGGTACCTGTGCAGATGGATGCAGCACAACAAGGCAGTAACTACAGTAATGGCCATCTGCCTCACTAACAAACCTGGCACATTGCATTACAGGACCACTGGCATTTTCACAGTGAAGGACTTCTGCACAGTGCTGTAGTGGAGTCAGTTCGTACAGCCCTCTAATAAAAGCAACAGCAAGAAGAAAGTGAGTTGTTTTTTCATCTGTAACAACACACTCAAAAACAAGCAGCTATTACAAGTGCTCATCAATATTAAAATCACTTTTAAAGTCAGCTCGCCTCGCAGCTGATATTTAAGTGGTAATGCTCTCCTAAGGTGCCTTACAGCCCCATGGCCTTTTAAAAATTGAAGATTAAAAGAAATCTTTTTGTACTCTTGTTCAGAAAACAGTGCTAAGAATAGAACAATAAAAAAGAAGTAGCCAACTATAAATCATAAAGATGAAATAAGACATGGACTAAGAAGTTCGTGGGAGGATTTTTGCCTTGCCTTCCATCTACCCCCCTCTCCCCCCTTTTTTGGTGCCCTACATGATTTATGGCATCATTTTTTCCCCACATATGAATAAATTGATTTATTTTCTTTTTTTTTTAATAGGACTTCTTCACTATCCTATCTCCATGAAAGCCAGGTGCAAGTCAAAAAATATTCTCAGTAAGTTTAGAAACTTTTCAGCTTTTCAGCAATGTAGAGCAAAAAGAAAGTCCCACACAACTGTTACTACCATCTGACTTGAGCCCAGGGCCCCTTCTTTTAAATTATTAAAGCTTTTTAACGTATAAAAAGACAAATTCTATTCTCAGTTTCCGAAGGTCAGTACAAATCCCAGGGCTTTGCTCAGTGTTTGTGCAGTTACTCAAAATACATTGATACACTGTTGGAAAGGAAATGTTTATCCCATTATTTCAATGTTGCACTAAGAAACAGGGACATATTTTAGCCTGCCTTAATACAAGAACTGCCATTATGCAACCTTAAGTAAATCTTCATTACAATTAGAAAACAAGATAATAAATTACTGCAAGTAAAGTGGACAGCCCTATAAACCACAGGAAGGAAAATAAGGAGCCAGAAATATGGTTTTACTGGGTCACAATTTTATTACCACACATGGGAACAATTAAGCAACAATTTGTCCTGAGTGCGTGACCTTTCCCTCCAGTTCCTCCCAGATACAATGGTAGATACCAACCTCCTGCCTCACCTAAGGAGACCCCGGAACCACCATTAGGCCTCACCTAACACTACCTGTGCAAAGGCTGGGCTGAGAAAGCAAAGGGATTGTGTCCAAACCAAACATCAGGAATTTCAGTTCTGTGCTCTAACATTTTGAAGAGCTATTTTCTTTGTACATGCCTCCAACCCTGACTCCTCAGGGAGCCGTATCTTCTGCTGATCAATACTTAGGTGAGATCTCTGCCAAATTGCAACGAAAGTAAATTTGATAATCTAATCTTTCCAAGGGAATTCCCATGTTGTTAATAAGCGGGCAGGGAAAGAAACAAAATGCTGCTCTGCACAGACCACTTACAAAGAGTGAAAGTTTAAAATCAGCATACCAAGATAGGAGGTCCCAAAATGGTACATACAGAACAAAAGCAAGATGGAAAGACATAAAGCCTTTGTTGTTACTACAGCAGAAAAGAACCTTGGAAGAAGAAGAAAGGTTCAGATTTTCTTTATCGCTTCTTTTAGGAGCTTAGCATTAACAGATTCATGCTGCATCCTTTTGTCCTGTTCAAAAATGAGGAATCAAACTGCTTATAATCTTATTGAGATGAGTTTCCCAACCCTTCTTGGCCTTTGCAGGTCATCTCTTAATATCTGTAATGGCAATGAATTCTACCGGCACATACCACACTGTTATGAAGTATATCACTACCTTTTGGAAAAGGATTTCAAGAATAACTGTTTTCTCCTTCAAAACATAACTGAAACTTCAGGAAGATACTGAGGGATCCAAATTTCCTATAAATCACCTATAACTGAAAGCAAAGCATAATCATTTGTACGATATAACTAGTCAGTTCAGGTGAGCACCACTTGGAAAGAGGTTTTATCACAGCAAGGTAATGGATTACTTCAGATATGAAAACCCCAAAAAGCAATACTTTCAGGAAGAGGCAAGCAAGAAAACCAAAGATAGCAATGGTAACACTAACAGTGACATCAGAGGCGCAAGTAACACTATTCCCCTACTGCCACTGCAGGTAGACACAAGCTGGTGATCCTTCTCAGTCCTGTGGGCACTCCAAAGCAGCCTTTCATAACAGCAAATTAAAGCATCTTCCCCTTAGTTGTTGCTGCCATGGTAGTTCTGAGAACCCACTAGCACAGTTTCTGTAGCTGTCCACTTACCGTTTCTGAAGTATTTTATCATTTCTTTATGACTAATTTAGACTGAATATGAATGGTGTGGAAACAGACAAAGTTTGAACTTCAAGATGTGCCCATAGTAACACCAAGACCATACAAAGGGTTTACTATTACTGTTGAAACACCTCTTAAGTTGTAGCATGGCAGAGCTGCTGTTAAGTGCTCTGATCTCTGCATCTCTTCACTGAAGTGTTTGGTTATTACTGTGATCTTGTTCTGAGTATGCTGATTTTTAAGTTGTAACTTGTTCTAATGTGTTGAAATATTATACATAATGTAATAATAAAACAGCATCTTCATCTCGGGGAAGAGAACACCAGTCTGCTGCCAGGGTCTCCTAGTTATGAGTTGCAACATCTTTTATAACGTTTTTCTTCTGTTTCAGCTATATGATCTTTGTAATGCACCAAACTGTGAGACAGCCTGTAAGTCTGTGCATAAGCCATAGAGGATGTTGATATTCTCGTGCTGTAACAGAGGCCAACTTCAAGCTGCAAAAATATCCCATAGATTTTTTTAAAAAAAGAAGAAATGCAGAGATCCTCAGGCTTCTCTACGGTCAAAAAGCAACGGTTTTTTTCTTCTGCAGATAGCAGTTTGCATTCAATTTAAGTTCTCACTCTGCCTACTGAGGCATTAGGGAAAAAACCCAAAAAACCATGCAAAACCTGATGGCAGCTTGCCACCAACAGAAAGCATAGCCTGGACCTGATGGAAACACTGTCTGAAAGAAATCAGATTTTGGCCTGATGAGAACTGCAGTGATCTAAGGTAACAGGAAAGCTGAGCATCATTTAGCAGCAAGTTTGGAAACATTCTGATGTGACTATAAACACAGTCTCTTAAGCTAAGTACTATAAAATACAGTATTTCCTTATACATTTTCTAGTCAATTTTATACATATGGAAAAATTATACAGTAAATAATTATATAGTAAACTCCTAGCTTCTTCTAGAAAACCTTTCGATTTTCTTTGTCATACTCCATTTACCTGTTTTTCCATTAAAAACTGTCAGTTTTGAATTTTTAAGACCAAAAATGCAGGAGACAGCATCTACAAGCCCAGTGAAGTTCAAGGTATTATCTCCTTTTGGATTTTCCAGCAGCAACACACCATCTAAAACCAAAATTGAGAAATTAAAATACAGTTTGGAAGCAACATCCAAGTTTTAATGATTTTCTAATGACTATTTTGAATTGCTTCCAGAGAGTTTCTAAGCTAACTTAAAACTGGCAACACTGCAGTTTTTTAGTAAGAAAGGGAAAAAAAAAAAAAGAGGAAAGAAAATAGGGAAATGGACTCAAGAGTACTTCAGATTTAGAGTATGGAAGTTAGATTTGTTTTTATTGACAAAGCAGTCAAATTCTTATGTCACTAAATTAAAATCTAGTATTATATTGATTAAAAACCAAAAGACCACATGCCCTCTGAAATGTTCACCAGCTCGGTTACATTCACTGTTATTCACAGTAAGCAGTTTTGTAGCCGCATTAAAGAAAACACAACACAATTACTTTGATATATAAACTGTAAACAGAGATAGGAAAAAAAAAGTCCAGAGAGCGCAGTTTTTTCTCCTTTTAATATATAACTCACCCTTGTAATACTTTTAACGATATCACTGCACTCATCTTTTCATTATCCAAGCGATAGCCACTGTATTCTCTAGTTTTAAGTATACTTTTTAGCACTATACTTAATATCGAAGTTTCTCTAAAGTGGTATCTCCTCCACAGAAGGGCATCACCTATATTTGCAGTACTACATCAAGAATTAACAATGCTCAAGGTACGCACTCTGGGCTTGGGTGACTGCACACGCACAGACATGGAGTGTGTATGCCCCCATATAGATATGCACATACAAACCCTTCTGTAGAAAATAAATAATTCATGTGCACACCCAAGTATTTACTTCAGGTCCACATGAGAAGACATCATGGTCAACAAGTGGTTTTCCTTTTAATGAACTTATTTTCAAGAATTGGAAGGGAGTTTGCACCACTTTTCAAACAAATTCACAGCTCCAACATTCATGACACTGTTTTCTAAAAAACCTTTTACCACCACTGCTGGCAAATCAAACCTGGTACATTCCTACCTTGCTCTGTCCCATTTACACAAACTTTGAGGTTGACGTAGGCACAGGCTGGACCAACATCCTGACACAAGCCACCTCTGACAAGCGTAATTTCTAGCTCTGATCCCTTCAGCTGAAGAAAGAGAAATATTACGATTATTTGAATATCGTTCTATTAAACACAAAATCTTTTCCTTAAACAACATTAAGATCTTGTTGTACCATACTAAACATGACTTACAATAAAAGAGCAACTTTTACCATATTCTCCTTCAGAGACAAAGCACTTCAAATATGCATCTGTCTTTAATACATGTTAAAGGTACAACAGTATTTTAACACAAGAAGAACAGAGAGGAATAAACAGTTTAATTTTCACAAGTCGTGCACAGTGATCACAGTCTCCCACAATATAATCCCAAAGTGAACGTAATCAAGAGGCACACTCTTCCAGAAGTAGTTCAGAGTATCTGAAAACAGGGCCCTGTTCAGTCACTGCCTGGAGAAGCTTTTATCTGCCTGCTAAGGCTGCCGAGCACAGCGAGGCGGAGCAGCTGCTGTGCATCAACTCAGCCTTTGTGACTATCTCTCCAGTAGCTGTTAGTGAATCAACTACAGCTTAAAAACACCCCAGCAAGAAACGTAAAGTGTTTTTTCCTGTGCAGATGAGAGACAGGATGAAGAGACTTAAGAATCTGTAGCAATACCACAGAAAAAGGTATATTCTCTAGAGCCCTTAAACCACAACTTTTTAAAACTATGTTTTTTCTAAGCACAGGTCTTTTCCTGAACTAAGTACAGGCAGGAATTACTCCTGCACCTACACCAATTTTCACAAGAACCACACTTTAAAAGATTTCTTAATTAAAATCGTTAATTAAACAAATGTCATCCAGAAATCACTTATTTGAACAACTGCTACAAAGTGGCCATTTAAGCCTATTTTTTTGTAAATACAGAGATAGTCTTTGGCAAGAGTTTGCTGCCAACCTCTTTACTGAGTTACTATGACAAAGTAGGGAAAAACACTGATGTAGCAGCAAATCTCATCTTGTGTTTATCCATTCTACTAATAATTAAATATTCATTTTTCAAGTAGCTGCTGCTCTGTTGCAGTATTTTCAAGCAACTACTGGTGTGTTTTTTTGTTGTCTTTCACAAGTCTTGAGAGAGAAGTTTATAGTTAAAAGCTTTGTACCAAAAATTGATCCAGGATAATTTCACAGCAATAATAGTCTTAAATGTAATCAAAATACTTGTAGAAACGACAGACTGCATTTCATTTTTGTCTCAGAATTCACATATACTCAACATAACACACACTCCTTTTAACAACTTCTAGAAATCTGGTGCAATGATCCTGTCACAGCTGACTTATGCACTCATATATGGAGTTACACACTTTATTCTTTTAACTTGCATTTGCTTTTATACCTGAAAGCATGTAACGGTCACTAAAGCATTTTCTATGTCAGTGCTGCTTATCAGCCCCCACCAACAGAAGACAGCTGATGCACAACTCAACTTGAACTCACATCTCCATAGTCTTAATGCCTGAAGCCGCCAGTACGAAATGCCACACAGTTATAACTAAAGACCACAGACACGTCTGATGCATCAAACTAAAATTCATTGCCCACAGCTGCAGCTGTTCTCAACTTTCTACAAAAGGCCAAACTTGAAAGGATTTCTGTCAAAGGGATTTTTCATTTCAGGTATGTTTATTCAGTGCTCTTAACAAGCCAGTTGCAGCAGAACAGGGAGTAGAGTCAAACATCTGCCCTGAGCAGTCCCAGGAGGCTAGACTTCACAGTTGCTCTAAACTCCGTCATCTGCTTCCCTCTACAACTTCTATTTGAAAGTCGAAGTACATGACCAACAATTCAGAGACAACTCAAGTCTGTATGCACAGTAACCAGCTAAACGTGCAGCAGGCAGACCGTGTGGCAAAGACACCGCTTCATTCTGCAGGGAGGTACTTTGTAGTGACTGAGATACCTTAAAGTAAAATAATAACAAACAACTGCATTTACTTTTTCTTTGTCTCAATTACCATACATAAACTGTATACCTTTGGTACACAGAACTTGCAGTAACTCCCTGCTAAAGGTTTTGTGTGAAACCCTGCCTCATGGCTAAGATTTCAAGCTGACAGGTAGGCGCTCTCAGCTGTGCGACCACTGCAACACAATGACATTTTTATCAACTTGGTCATCAACTGCAGTAGCCACACAGAACTATCTCATATATAGTGGTACCTCAGTTAAATTTTTTTAGGTCTTCCCAGTCTGAAATGTGACATCTGTGCAAACACACAGCCTGACCCACAAACCTCCTACCTCCAATTCACACCAGCTCATCACTCCCAAAACTGACTGATGTCAGTTTTTTGCTGTCATCCCTCCAACAGCTATCAATTATATCTATAAAACCTTCTGTAAGGGCAAGGATTCATCTTTATGTAAACAGTATTATTTAAAATTAATCCAATAGACTCATCTTTCAGCTTTCCACAATGTTTTCCTTTACTAGAGTCTGTTCAATTATGATTCAGAAAACAGAAAAACAGCAGTGGGGGGGAAAACATACTTGCACAAGCATATAAGCTTTCAGAGAAAAACAAAGACGCAGCAGCCAACCTTAGAGCTCATGCACTAGGCAATTTCAGAGGCAGGCAATCAGACAAGCGTTTCCCAGAACTACACATTTTTTTTCCAGCTGTTTTTACATCGTAATTTAGATTTGATGTTGACTTTAACACCAAACTGTCCACCAATCAAACAAGTACATAGAGGAAATAGCAAAATATTGCCAATGATTTCTCAACCACAGTATTCTCCACTTTTATGTACTGTTTTTCCATACGTTTGTCATGAGATTAAATGAATAAGCTTTGAAATTCCATAATAAATGAATGGCTTTGAAAAACGCTAAACAGAGCTTTGTTTCCAATCTGTACAACTTCAGAAGTGTAATTAATTAAGTGTAAAACATTTCCTTTACACATACTGTTATTAAGATGGATAAAATATGTGCTTTCCTTTCAGCTATTCTCAGACCTCCAAGCCATTCTGTAAATCCAGTTTTTAAGCCTGATATATCTTCTTGTCTTCTCAGTCTAGCATGGATTGAATAATACTTCATTGGCAATTCTGCTAAGAATGCCTTTTGAATACAGTAAGTTTGAATAAAGCCATGGCAAAAGCATTCTCAAAACATGCAAGAAGAAACTATCAAAGAAAACAAAGGAAATGGTTCAAATCTGCTGCTGAAAGAATAAACAATCTGCAGAACTGCACTGTTACCAAAGACTGAACTTCAGCAACACATGGGAGAAAAACCAAGCATCCTCAAACATTAATAAGTGAAGCTGGTCTTAAGCCAAAAGGGGAAATTTAGCCTCCAAGGAGAACATTTCTAATACAAAAGCCTATTAACTTAAAGAAATCAGAGCAGCAATATTTTTGCTGTGTAAACAATGCAGTAATCCAAATACAAATTACAATGTTCATTAAGCTTACACAAACAACTACCTAAGACAGTTAATTTGTATTCAAGCAGCTTCATTTTAAACACACTACACACAGAGAACCCAACTCTTCTTTGTTAAACCAGAAAGACTAATATGGAGATTTAGCCATATGAAAATACCCACTATACCCCACACAAATATTGACATTCACTTTTTCTGTAATTGAAGCACTTTGTTCAGTTAAAAGCAGATAAAGTGAACTATGCAGGCAAAGCTTTTTCCTTCTTACTTGGGTTGTTTCCTGGATAAGAACTTCTTTTGAGGTAGGCACCGGGTAAGGCTTCAGGGCAGCCTTTATTGTTGCAAAAATGAAATCTGTATGTTCCTTAATAACAGTATCCAGGTAGTCACCTTCTGGGTGTGCCCCGTAGTACACTGTAATCTCATCTGTAGGAACCAGGTTTCTCTGTAGGATGTACCAAATATATTATCAATGACAGCAAGATGATTTTCACATATGCAAACCAAAAGAATACTTGTTAAGTTCGAGAAAATAAAATATTTTAGACGTTTACCAGACATTTGTTAGTTTCTACAAAAGATTTAGAATAAAACAATTCTTCTGTCAGAAGGGCAAAGAGGCTTGAAACATGGTCATTTTTTCCTCAGAAGATAATGGCCAAAGAGTGTACCTTATGCAAAAGGTTTCACTTCCAAATTCACTTACCAACTTACCCCCTTGGTGAGCTGAAAGCCTACCAAATTTATTAAAAAGCTTTTCTTGATGCATGAGGATTTTACCAGCATTTACACACCCTGTTTGCCTGAAATTAAACTTCTGGCTCTTTACTGAAGAATTGCTCAACCAGTGGCATTTTCTTAACAACCAGCAGTCTCAAAGACATTCTGGTATTGTTTTGGAAAGTGGTGACCAGACTTCTAAGTTTTCACACTAGTTCTGCCACAGCTCATACAGTAACATATACTTCACAAAAAGAGCAATTCATGTCAATGATATGCTTACTAAAGTTTAATTAGAGCAACATGCTGCTTCAGTAAGAAAATCGTTCCAAGGGAAAAACAGCAGCACCAAGGAAACTTGATTTCCCAAATCTGCTAAAAATAATGACTGCCCTAATGCGAGTAATAGTTACTGTGGATCTGGAATATGTGGTTTTCACTACATGTACACTTTTGTAACAGGAGTAGGAATGAAAGAATGACAGAATAAATACACATTGGTATCATGTTAACTATTAAGCAACATTAAGTATTTTGATATTGATTTAAGTAAGAATAAATTACAGCTTTATGTCATTATGACAGTAAATTTAAATCATCCAGTAACTTAGGAGACAATTTTCTTCTCATGGCCACATTCCTTCTTATTTTTATTTTGCACAAAAATAAATCTACATAGGTTTTTTATTATATAAACATACAAGCATATATAAAACCAAACTATTCTGGTACAAATGCGTCAGTTTTTCAGTCTTATACTGAAGATTCATGCTATCTTAACTCTACAGATATCTTGTCCCATGACAATTCTCCCTACACATCATTTAGAGCTCTTGCAAGATTTCTTCAAGCAAATTCTGAAAGAGATAGAAATTCTACCACATTGCCACCAAGTTAGTCAAGTAGGAAAACCCTGCATGTGTCAGAACAACCCGTTCCATGTTCATGACATGTACGTGAGGGAACAAGAGATTGATTTGTGCTTGTGGTTTTTTGGTTGGCTGGTTGGTTTTCTGTTTGTTCGTTTGGCTTTAAGTTGCAGGTTCTGAAGCCTTTAGAACAATTTGTACCAATTTAAATATTACTTAATGTTCTCTCCAAATTAAAGGCTTTTCAGACTTGACATCACCTCCATGCTTTCTTGGCACAAAATGGAGATAGCAAGCGCAGCTCTTCCTGGATTAGTTTTGTAGAGAGAAGGAAGTTACATTGGTTCAAAATGCTTTCCGTGAAGGTCAGACAGCATCATCTGTATGTATGATGATAACAATTTAGAGCAGGATCACTCATGTATATATACAAACTGGTGCCAGAAGTGCCTCCTGCAATTTGCTAAGACACGAGTTTGTTTCTTTGGACAGTCCTAGGGAAGCTCTCCACAGCCTAGCTGACGTAACACACAGGAACCGAGCCGGAACATAACCTAACTCTTGTCAGGAAGCAGGCAGGCCTCAGAGCAGCTTAACTGGAACTGAACCTCTGCTATGTGGCTGATGATAGAAAACAAGAGGGGCTCAGTAACATACATGAATTAGTTAATTCACTATTTATGATGTATATCAAGCTCATTGTTCAACTGTAGCTACTTAATGTGTCAATTCAAAATCAAAACAGTTATTTGTAAACATTTATGTTAGTCAGAAAGTTATATATGGGGAGTAAAGAACAAGAAGATCAGCTTCTCCTGTACAATGCCCAAAAACTGCTTGAAAGTAAAATGCCTTGTTCCAAAGGACTGCTTCCTCACCTTTTTGCGAAGCTTCTGGATGCGATTAATCACTTCCCGTGCAACTCCTTCATCCACCATGGACTGGTCTGGGGTAACATCTAGCAGAACTAAAACCTGAGGTAACACACAGAAGACAGTTGAATAGGTGACAAACTTGAAACAAACTGGTGCGACTTGCTCAGAAGCTCAAGTCCACTTCTACAGAGCTCCTCACTCACAAAATATCATGTTGAAAAGTACTTGTGACATCTCCAAAATTCAGAAGATAGGCTCCTGGAGTTTGTTGAACTATCTGAACAAACAAAACACCCCAGCTTTCACCTCACCATTTTCATACTTTGAGAAACACTTCCCTTAATCAAAAAGAAGAAATAACAAGTACAATACCTGAGCATCGGAATGTGCCTCAAACTGCGCAGATCCTCCTGCAACCTGATACATGAGACGAAGATCTTCCCCATGGAGTTCATGTCCTTCTACAACAATGGTGCCTGCAGAATTGGCAGGTGAAGAGCATCTCTTACAATCAGAGTAAAAAGGTTCTTCTAAATACAAAAAATCTTTAAACACATATCAGACTTCAAAAACGTGCAAAGCAGTATATTTGTGATACAGTGGACAGCACTTAAGCACTAGTAAGAAACACTGAACTATCCCACAGTCACATTTTTCATACAAGCAGAGCTCACTCAAATGCAGATACTTCAGCATCTGTATCATCTGAATGAAACAGAATAAAACTTAAAAATAACCTGTATACTCAACTACATGAGAATTCACATTCAGCAGTTAACGAAAGGGATATAGCTGGAAAATTCACACCCACTTGTAAACCTGGAGTTGAAGCAATGCTTTTAGAATAAAAACTACTGCATGTATACTCAGTTCAAGTATGATTCAGTCTTACAGAACAGCTTGGTCTCCAGTCCATCTTGGCCTTACAGTAACACTTAAACAGAAGAGTGTAAGATGAGCATACATGGCCACTGATCATCTATTGTCAGTGAAATAATAAAACCAACTTTTCTCCTAGTCTCATGAACATAAAATTTAATAGGATAACAACAGGGAAGTAGGCCTCCTGCCTCCCTAAGCCCACAGCCGGGTACTTTTGCAGTTGTTCCTGAAAATGCTCAAATAACATACAAACTCAGGAGCAATTGCTCAGGTTTTTTTCTGATGAGCTAAAGAATTTTGGATTTTTTTTTGTCAACATTGCCATCATTTAGTGGTTCGTACCACTACATACCTGTCTCCTGGAATTCCTCCAGCTGCTCACTCTTCAGCTCTTTGATTGCAGCCATGACAAGCTTAAACGCACCTTTCAAGCGCTTCCCAAGCACCATGTGATCTGGTTCTGCTCTCAGCCGGACACCATATTTCTCTTTATTAGTAGATAGTGTCACTTGACGTACATTAAGTTCCTATATAAAAACATCAAGAGAGAAAAAAAGAAGAAAAAAAAAAGTTAAAGAACAGCTGTGGAAAAGCTACAAAACCAGGGCTACAGCACTAGGGAAGTCGTAAGTCTCAAGCTGCAAGTCTTTTACGTGGTTGTCTCTGTGAACTAAATAACTTGCCAATACTGCAAGAGCAAATAAACCCATCCGATACTGAAACTGGCCTTCAGCAGAAGGCCCCATCCTTCTCCTCAGCCCTTAGGCAGACATTTCTCCGTTATTAGGAGACACCAGTCAGCTCTCCATTCAAATCAGATCCCTATTCAACAGCCTTTTTTATTTTACCATTACAACTGTCTGAGGAGACAAAACTATTACCTTGTGTATCTTAAATACAGTAACTGCAGCTGGTGACTACGACAGGAGTCTACCCAAGCAGCCAGATGCTTGTGCTTTCTCTAAATGGACTCTATCATTGCAGGAGACAGCACAATGTGCTAGATGAACCACAAGTCCAAACCATCAAGTCAGTTCTTATGTCCCTAATCTTCCTCATCACATAAGCACACTAAAAACCACCATTAAAAAAAAACCCACCAAAATCCCACAAACCTTACTGCACACCCAGACCATCATACAATGCCAAATTTGAAAATACACAGTGCACCTCTCCACTCCACACTTAACTCTGTCCAATGAACAAATGCGTTACACACGTTATTAATAACACCAAGAAATAATGTCTTGGTATACCTCCTGTAAACAAGAGCACTGCATCCCAGTGTTATTTTGTGGCTCCAAGAGAGTCTTGTTTTGACCTGCTTTGTACAGCCAAGTAAGAAACATAAAGAAGGCAGCACCTGATACTTAAATTTCCAGTTTCACACGGCCTCACTCTCTATTCTTAGTGTGAGGTAACAAGGAGAGATCTTGGAAGTTTTAATTGCCAGCATGCAACTCCTCCCCAGGTGCAAACCTGCACATATCTGGAGCACATTCACTATAATTCAGCAGGTTTTGTCTGTCAGGATGCCCAGTACTTGAAGCATTTTGTGTTTAGATCTCCACCAGAAGGTTGTCAGAGTTCACATCAATGTGATACAGAATCACCAAGTGCATCTGGCAAGCAAGCTACTTCAAGTCACTTAGGAAGCAGAAGTAAATGGTAGCATCAGCATGACAGGGTTAGCAAGCAGCCAGACATACAGACTGAGAAGTAATGCTTAAACATAGCCTCTGAGCTACAGTCTAATTCTCTAGGAAGTCCTACTGACATAAGAGGAGCCAAGAATATAACTGAATCTAATTTTATTTAATGTATCTTTTAGGAAATCTAATGAAAATTCTGTACTTCAGAAATTTGGTTTTAATGGGGTGCTGTTGGAAATGAGCCCACAAGTAGCAAATGGTGACACTATGGGGAAAAAGAAATAATAATACAAAAAACAGCACAAACTGAAAGATGACTTTGGGCCTGATTGGATAAATTACATACAAGCCAACTCCATCAGGAAAAGTTTTCTGTACTAATTAGATTAGGAAAACATTTTTCTGAATCCATTACTAATTAAAAAAAACCGGAACAATGCTTCAAAGAGAAGTCTGTATCTTAGGTCCATTTGTATCTGCTTCAATATAGTGCTTCGACTTAAAATAGTTCTGAATTTTATCTTCCTAATAAATCAAAATTAGCTCCTTAGCACATCCTTCAAGCCTCATACACACAGACTGAGGCAACCAGTCCTTCTCATCACCAGTCAGAAGACCTGTATATATGGAGGCATTTCTATGTACAAGGGCCTTTTCCTGCTGCCACGTGCCAGAGTGTCATTGACCAGTAACCCAACTACAGCCAGTTCTCAGAACAAAGAGAAACGCCAGTGCTGTGCTTCAGCTGGTCTGGGCTCTCTAAGCCAAAATCCTAAAGAAGAAAATAAATACTGGTTTTGTAATACTGTAAGAAACAAAACACTGAAGGACCACACACTGCCAGTTCATGCGCTGTTAATTCAGCCCATTTGTGGACTCAGTCTACCACGTTACTATAACACCACTAAAGTGATGAAATCCTGGTAGACCTTGGATGTGATGGAAAGTCAATTTTCTGTGATTTATTATAGTCATACATAGGGGTGGGGCCTGGAGGGTATAAAAAAGTTGGATGCAAACATGAGTCCAATTGTACATGAAGTAAGACTTGTTCAGATAAAACTTTTCACTGGAAGAAGTTATGAAGAGAAGTCCTGAACTAGGCTTGTAAAAGGCCTCAAACACTAATGAATAAAATGCCACTGTGCTCAGTTGCTAAGCACCTTCCAGATTTATTTCATTTGGCTGTTTTTGCATGACAACTCTATACTCTGGATAGTTCTAACATTAAAATCACCTTATTTAAATGATTTGATCTGTGCTGCTGAGGAAAGAGTCAGACTGCAGATCAAAGACTACAGCTGCTTCTGAAAAAGTTATGAATGAAATTTTCAAAGAATTGACAAGTATATTTTTCAAATTCTTTTGTCAGCAACTGCATGGAATTAAATGGTGTAAATTTTTTTTACAGATTACCTCTGGCAGCTGTGAATTTGCCAGAAACACACTTGTAAAGGTTCTAAAGCTCTGACTATGTAGGACGTTGATGAACAAAGCTGCTAACACAGCCCAAGTAATACTACCCGGTCTACCTGCATTCATTGACCTCTTTAGCTCTGAACCACCCAAGTAACCAACTAGATTGATTGGTGTGCGATACAATAAAACATACACTAAGCTCCAGGATCAGCCTGTTGAATTTTAAGATACGTAATAAAAACAGGACCATAGACAGTTATTTTTTTATTTCTGCTACCATAAAGCTATTTGAGTTTGTTGTAACTCATCTCCCCGTAAGTCAGCAATACCTTAATTGTGTTTGCAGTAGCAGATTAATACAAATTAAAACACACTTTTGTACAATCCAATTATGTAATAATTTATCAAATTTTTAGGTTACTTTGCTACTTTTTACTAGCAGTAGAAGCTGACAGCAAGTTTTGCCAGCTATCTCTCTGGAAATAATTTGAGTAAGCAAACCTCATCTCCCTTCAAACTGGATTCTGTAAAATCCATAGATCTAGTTTTCAGATCAAGACAATGTGGTAGACACTAACCTAAATTTCACAGCAATCTGCTACTGAAAAGATCCAGGTGTTAAAATGATTAATGATAATAGTAATTCTGAAGTGAAGCATTGTAACTGCCAATTCTAAGAGAAATAATCCATACACTAACATGACAGAAAAGCCTTACAATCCCACTCCAAATCAATTCAGATTTAATTAAAATTCCTTTAGTGTGCAATTCTAAAGAATTTAAGTCCCACAGTAACTAAAAGCAAGAAGCACACACCACTGATGTAGAAGTCCTGTCCCTTAGCCAATGCTCTTAAGTCACCCGCAGCAGAATTTTTAGAAGCCTTCTTCAGTTGTGTATTTAGGCTTGGGTAAAGATGGTATTGCTGGAGTAATACATAATCAGAAGTTTAAGAGGTTCTCTGCTGCTTCAGTCATCTCTTGAATTCTTTGACAGACAGGGTTGCTCTCACCGAGACAAGCAAGGTGAGTCGATCTTGCTTGGGTAGATGCAGACTTCTCTTTGTCAAGGAGAAGCAGTGGATCTTGCTTGGCAATTCATTTTAAGCATATGCCTACATCTTCTGTTACAGAACCCCCTGAAAACACCTTTTTGAAAGGAAGGAGGAATCCTTAACTTACCAGGGACAGGCACAGTATAAGGGCCGTGCCATTTCCAGACAAGGGAAAAAAGCTTTAGACAATGTACTGACAGTGGTTATTACGGTAGAGAAAGAATTCACCTCTCACTTATCTTTGAAGACCTGTTTCACTGGCTTTAAAGAATCCAAAATGTTACAAACACTTACGGAAGAGAAAAATCTATTAAATGGAAAGCATCATAACCTTACGCTTCATGTAGTACCAGGATGTCTTGTACAGCCACTGGAACTGACTATCACAAACATACATATAAAATGACTTGGAAGGTGGCAGATTCTCACAAATAAAAGATGATGGAAAGGTCAAATGTCAGTTATTAGTAGAGATACATTTTATTGAATAAATCAGAGACCATTAAACAGAAAAACAAACTAAAGACATATTGCTGAACCTACCAGTCCTATATTATATCAGCTCTTAAGTACAGAGGTCCTAAGGTGATACATCACGGAAAGAACTTCATGAAGACAGAAACCAGACAAGTTCCTCTGCAGTGTCAGATTCAAAGCTTCAACACTATGGATGGAGCTGAAGGAAAGGAACCACTCTGAACTGCAAAGAATTCCCGCATTTCCCCCCCAATTACTGTATTTGGACATATACAGCTGTACACTAATATGGCAATATCTGGGAAGTATGCTGGAGGTAAAATAGGACAAAGAATTAAGTTGTAACAGTAATCTAAGAGGCAGACTTCAGAGGATAATGAAAAGTACTCTCTACGGCTCACCTCTCCAGATGTGTTATCACAGGTGGGAAAGGAAGGAGGGCTTTCATGAACAGCTCAGATTGCTGGTCAGTTGCTACACTGCTGTTCAAAATCTTTTCTCCTTCTAGTTTTGGCTCATTTAAATAGAGATTGTTTCAAACATGTAGATTTGAGAGGGCAAGACATGAGAAGGCTAAGCTTGTAGTGCACAGGCATTCAGAAACTGCATTAAGATTTCTAAATGAAATCTCTTGTAACAGTTAAGGAAGTTGGTATTTTGGGGGAATTATTAGTTTTTGTATTGCACTGCAGTTAACTTTGCTATCAAGAACCTTGCATTGAGGCTAGTATCCCTTCCTCAGAAACTTTCTTATGAGGTCTTCAATGGAGAAGATCATCCAAACAACTACCTCTGTGTTTTGTTTTGCAAGACCACTCCTTCAGTTCTCATCCGAGTTAAAAAAGCTGGTGTATATTCTGCCTCATTGAACTAAGAGCCATATACAAATACAACAAGATTGGATATGGAAAGGATTCATGTGGAAATCCAGGCAGATTAATACCCAGAAATTATTGTCATGAAATAAGCCCCAATTTATATTCAAAGTCTAATGCATGTACTCTGCCCAACATCAACACCAAATCAGTTCCTTTAGAATTCTGCTTTCTTGGCAAAGAGCTCCTATTCAAAATGCAATTCCTTCCTCCCCAAAACAAATACAGTTACAAAGATGAAGTCACGGCTTATCTCCCCAAGGAACACAATGAAACAACTGGGTGAAAAGGGATCATCAATCCCAACAAGAGATGGCTGCAGCAAGAGAAAATTAAGTCTGCTCAGAAAGAACAGCATTGCTTAACCAGTCTTCCTTCTTCCCTCACTGCCTTTCAGAGTGGTTCTGAAAAGCTTCTGGTCTTACAATGGAGACGACATTACCTCTAACCCCCTGTTCAGCAAAGCAATTGTAAAACCCCTAGATTGCTAACACTGAGAAATGACACATAGCATATCTCATAACATCAAAGGCATGATCATGACAAATCCAAGTAGCAAGAACCACTGGTTTGTAAGATGTTTCGAAAGCCCCAACACCTAGAAAACAGGCAAGTGGCACAGTAACTTCCCTCCACCCTCCCTTTTCTTTTAGAATAAAAACACCATGGCTCATCAAAATTCAGTGTACCTGAAACATTTCCTTCTCACTATTCCCTCTTGTTTGATTTCTCTTGTACATCATAGAGGTGAAAGATGCATATAAAGTCTATTTGTAACGAAATTTAATTGAACATAAGGACTAAAAAAAAAAGCCCACTATTGTCTTTTAAGCAAAAGTAACAGGCTTTGTGCCTTCACTACAGCTTCTGAAACACAGTACTGAAGTTCAAAATATTTTATAGTATAAGCATATAAATGAAGTTTATTTATGAACAAACTCCTTTTTCATTTCACTTCTTGACATACTATGGATTTTTACATGACTGACTGAAGGCAGAAACTGCAGCCAATTTTGGCAAGTTAAGCTTCAAAATCCAAGATGGGTTACTTCTCTTTTGAATGATGGGGCTTTTATCCAAAGATTTAGAAGTAGGGCAGAGTGCATTTCTCTAATGGACAAACATTACACGAGCACTGCAGTGGCACAGAGGAGCAGATGAGTGTAAGAAATTGGACAGACTAACATTTATTTGACATTTTATTTCCAAAACAACATCCTACAAAAACCTTGACTGGTCCCCTCGTCGCCCTTATGAGGAACTCCTCATCTCCGTCAATCCTTCCACGGTCAAACTGGTTATAATGCCCTGAAGGAGATCACAAATTTTGCAATCTATCTCTTGGACAACATGTAGTTGACTATTGTCTTATTTTCATTCAGAAACTTTTTTTCCTTTCCCTGATCAAGAACATTTCTAATAGCCTCTTAGTCAGTTTGAGGAATTCAGTATCTCTCAATACTACAACTGACAAAGGATCATAACCCATTTACCTTCATTCCTGTGCACAGTACCCAGTGCCATCCTCTTTCATTACAACTCTCTCATTAATTTTACCTAGTGACTTATTAATAACACCAACAGGGAAGGTTTGAGGTTGGTTTGTTTACGTAACCAATAAACACAATCCAGCTAAGCATCACTCTCCTGATGTTCTTACCTCAAGTACGTACTTCTCTAAAGATCTGATGCTTTCCAGAGCCTCTGGATCTTGATGGATAACAACTACTTCTTTCAAAGGATACTGGGGAGAAGGAAAACAAACAAAGTTTTGTCCTTCCAACTAAAAATTAAGAACTTCAGAAGTTATTCATTATTTGAAGTATTTTTATCGTTGAGCTCTGCTATTCCAAACTTAATGATGCAATTTTCTCTGGCTTATCCCCAAGTTACAAAGCTATTGCATATTCCCAATGTATTGATAAGAGATGTTAAAGAGCTCTAACCTTTACTGGAATGGTTTTTCTGTCCCTGATTACTCGTCCAAGCTCAATAACAGACTGCAAACAAGAAACGGCACTTTCAATTTTTTTGTCGATGAGATCCTCCCTAGATCAAAAAGGAAATATTATATTGCTTCATTTCATTCTGTTCGCACAGATTGAAAACATTCTACCCCCTCCTCTGAAATTTTCTACAAGAGACACAATTATGCCCTGATGGAGCAATCTGAACAATGAACAAACAGGTTTTTCTTCTCTTTGTGAAGAAGATGAGGAAATAATGTGCTGAAAACAAAAAATAGTTATTTTTTAATCATCTTTTGTTAGCATCTCTCACAAGATGGAGATGATGGATCGAGTCATATTACCTATTCTATTAATACCCAATGGAAAGTAAGATTTACATTAATAATATCCTACGAAGATACAAGAAGATATTTTAAATAGGATACTTATAATGACAATGAAATAACTATAAAACAACCACTCACTGGATCTCAATTTATGAACTTTTCCAAGAATTCTAGATGTTTTAGCTTGAATTTTTAGACAGCCTTGCCATCTTTCCTGGCTTCACCATTTTGACAGCCTTCCATTTTGAGGCAAGAAGGCAAGGTTGCGGGGGGGTGGGGTGGGGTGTGCCTTTTTGGGGGTGGAGGGATGAGTTGTATGGGGGATTTTTTGAGTAAGCCACCATTCAGGTCTTGTTTCCAGTACACTAGCAGCCAACAGTTCAAAAAATGTTGTTTTCTTGATTTCTTGAGCAGCTGCATAAATCGAGCAGCTCCTTTAAAACCACTCAAGTGTCATCTCAAGACCAGGAGTATAGGTTCAAAAGACAATTTGGAGTAAAATGAACCAAGTTGTTTGCTGTAAGTAGCAAAAGCACTAGAATGAAAACCATGTATCCAACAAGAACTGTCTAGAAAAACAGAACTGGCAAAGCAAAACTTACAACCAAAACATCTCTGTGTTCTGCATTAGGGCTTTAAGATGTTACTACCTATTTGGAAGCTTTTCTTCCAAAAGCCAGTCTTCCAGCATGGTCTTCCAAAAACTTGAAATCACGTAAACTGTGAGATACAAGCTTTTGCTCCCAGAAAGATTAATATAGTATAATGTGGCAGAATTTCAATATTACTTGCCATTACAACATTGTGGAGCCACAAAATAAGAATGGTCTTCACAGACTGCATGCATAGCCACAAAATCTAATGCAACCAATCTGTTCAGACACTAATAACTCAGTGGCATTTGTAACACAAGTACTGAGTTAAGTTCAGCTGTGAAAGTGGCCAAGTCCTTTAGCTTTTATCTGCACATACCCATAATATTGTTAGAGTAGTATTTTACGTAACTGCATCAAAAAAATGCCTATTAACTGACAATGTTGTCCCTATGCAAGCATCAGAAAAATATTCAAACAATAATGCAATGCTGTGCTTAGCAACTCAAGGTGAAACTCTCAAAACTTCAACAATAACTGAGTTCTGAAAACACTCTTTTTTATCTGACAAAGGGCACAACTGATACATAGGGGATCCAGTAAATTACACAAACTAGAAGACAAAAATCTAAGGTACAAGACAAAGAGGAAAGCTGCTCAAATACATCTTATGTTTACATGATGCAGCAGCAGTCACTTGCATGAATGAAAAGCGACTAAGCCACTTTTAAACGCTCATGCCAAGCCCATGCATTAAGTGAGCTCCTGCAAATAGCTCACTATTCCTACATTATTCTACAGGAGCTCAGAACCATTTCTGATAGCTCACTGATGAGTTTTGCATTCTTTGATTACATATTCTTTACAGCACTTTCCCAAGGAACAGAAAATCAGCACCGTCATTATGTCAATCTCAAACTCCCTGTTGCAGTAACTGTCACTATTAAAGCTATCAGAAAGCGCCTTCCTCTAAGGATACAGTATCCATAAAAGCAACTCCACTACAAGGAGGTTTACATTTTTGAGCAGGCATATAAAGCATCAAGGTCAGCTCCCTTGTCCTTAAGGGTTTTCAAACTGAGCTGTAATGCAAAAGGAAACTTTGCTTCTCTTCCATTCAGTGACCAACACTAGACTGCAATGCAGGCACTAAGTTAATCCACTAGTGTATCATCAAGGAACTAATGAGCAACTGATTACTGTAACACCAGTATCTCCCTTGCTCTCAAATATTACAAATCAAATTAAAAATCCAAAACAAAACCCAAGCAACAAAATCCCTGCCCAAACCAACTTCAGCTGTCAAGTTCTACCTGGGTTGAGTTGATACTATGGATAAAGCAGCCCTGCGGAGAAGGATTTGGGGGTGGTGATTGATGAGAAACTCGACATGAGCAGGCAGCGTGCGCTTGCAGCCCAGAAAGCCAACCGTATCCTGGGCTGTATCAAAAGAAGCATGACCAGCAGGTCAAAGGAGGTGATCCTGCCCCTCTACTCTGCTCTTCTGAGACCTCATTTGGAGTATTGTGTCCAGTTCTGGTGTCCTCAACATAAAAAGGACATGGAGCTGTTGGAGCAAGTCCAGAGGAGGCCACAAGGATGATAAGAGGACTGGAGCACCTCCCGTATGAAGACAGGCTGAGAAAGTTGGGGCTGTTCAGCCTGGAAAAGAGAAGGCTGCGTGGAGACCTTATAGCAGCTTTCCAATATCTGAAGGGGGCCTACAAGGATGCTGGGGAGGGACTCTTCGTTAGGGACTCTAGTGGTAGGACAAGGGGTAATGGCTTTAAACTTAAACAGGGGAAGTTTAGGTTAGATATAAGGAAGAAGTTCTATGCTGTGAGGGTGGTGAGGCACTGGAATAGGTTGCCCAAGGAAGTTGTGAATGCTCCAACCCTGGAGGTGTTCAAGGCCAGGCTGGACAGAGCCTTGGGCGACATAGTTTAGTGTGTGGTGTCCCTGCTCATGGCAGGGGGGTTGGAACTAGATGATCTTAAGGTCCTTTCCAACCCTAATTATTCTATGATTCTATTCTATAACCCAGACCATACATCCAGTACAACCACCACGGAGCCAAACCTTTGTGAGACACCCTGCCACTTACAAAATAAACCTCACCCATAAGCGTCTAAAGAAACGATCTGTCTGGAAAGCACTCTCTCATATGATGTATCCTCTTACAAGGAAGTGGCAATCTCTGGACAATGGTCTAAATTCTTGACCTGAAGCCAAAAAGAACTCAATCTGCCTGCTCCATATGTGGTCGACACAAAACAATATTCTAATCCTTGTGGGATCTGGCATCAGCATTCACGAAGAAAGGCCCTGAGATAGGGGGATGCACATGTTCTTGCAAACGTAGGGCCTACAAGGAAGTTCTATAATCCTCTTGGGCCCTTCGTAGGTAGGCACTGTAGCTTCAAGTCAGTGCACATTTTGAAGAGTAAAAAGGATATGCCTTGCCCACCATAAAGAAACATCATGAGCTGGCTGCATGTATTCCTCCTAATTGTTTTCCTTCCTATCTACAATCCTTTAACCTTGCACAAGCCTACTGCCTAAATGCGGAGGGAAAAGAAAATTCCCAGCTAACACAGAGTAGGGTGTGAAGTGTTCTGCTAGGGAAATGCTATCCTACAGCAGAGGCTAACATTAATGACAGCTTCATCAAAACTTAAGCTTTTTTTACTTATAGAAAAGAATGTGTTAACTACCATCCTAAAATTCTCCCCGAGGCAAAGGAACATTCACATTAAAGCAGCTTGTTTTCTTCTTATGCAAAACATTTTTAAACACAAGTAAGTGAATGAGCACTGTTCCATGAAAAGAAAAAAAACCCACAAAGCAGAACAATACCAACAAAACAACCACAACCAACCAATGAAGACCCAACCAAACCAAAACCCTGTTTTCCCACACAGCAGCTAGCTCTTACCTCACTTGGGGAAGCATGAGGTAGTGGATGCTTTCAGTATTCTTTTCCTGAACTGAGGCCGGATCAATAAGTGTCTTCAGATTCTGGTACATCAGCTCAGTGATAAATGGAGTATATGGTGCCTGTAATGTTACACTCAATCATCATCTTTTCTTTATTGTACATTATGAATCAGTAATGCTTATGAATTGCATAAGGACAGTTCAGCAAAAACAACGCTTACACTTTGTCTTCAGTGCAGAACTGTGATGTTATTCAAAATGCAGACTGAAATAAATGAGGAAATTGCTGCTACTTATTTACCTCCTTCCTGACATTTACATGTTACTTTTGGACATCAGATAAAAATCATGTCTTTTTATCAGTCAGGTGATACAGGAGGTCTTTACAGTACCACCAGGCAGAAAAGCAAATAAAGGGGAAGGTAGAAAATAAATGGTGCTACAGAAATCAGTAGCGATATGTTTTTTAATTCCCACATGTTCAGTTTCTGTACTTCTAGTTTCTATCGTCACCTTCGACACAAAGAAGCATGCTTTTAGATTAGCTGCATTAAAAACATCAGGTCGTTACAGTGGGCTGTAATTCCCTTACCATAAGTCTGCACATGGAGAACAAAACACTAAACAAGGTTTCCAAGGCCATAATGCAGTCTTCAGTCCCATTCTCACCCTATTTGAAGAAATCACAAGAAACAGCAATTGCAATTTTAGGATGAGTAAGCTCATGCCAATAAACTTCAAAAATTTTCTATTTTCATGTAATAAACTGGTTTTCCAAACTGTATTCATTTTGCTCCATCCCATCCAGCAAGTGAAAGAGAATTTCTGGGCATTTTGATGGTTGATTTTCCTCATAAAGCAAAGTTGCGGGGATAAAAGTTAACTTCTCATTCCCACTACCAGGTACAAATGGTACAATTTAAAATGCAGCATAAAGGTTTTGTGTAACACAAGCTGCTATGCATTAAATTAACATAGACTGCTAGGATTCTATTTATAGTTCAAGCCTGCAGAAGTAGGTACCTACCTTTAGTCTTCTGCGATTCATTCTAACATACCAGTTGGTCAGAATATCAACAAACTTCACTAATCGAGGGACTACAGTGTAAAGGCGGTAAGCTACAAGGAAAAGTATTTACTGCAGTTAATATTTGCCCTCCGCAACAAGCATCTCACTTAACGATTGCAGCTCTGGTGTTAAACATAAAACTTGAGCAGAAACACATATGTAAGATCAAAAAAGCAACTTGACATACTATTATGTTAAAACTGTATTTTGAAATTGCACACGTCATCAGTTCTCCTGCCTCAAGACAAATACATCCACCACCAAATTGCTTCCCTAATCCTACACAGACAAACATTATGGAAGCCTTATGCTTTTATCTGACTTGTAAAGAGGATAGTGGATAAGACACTATTAATCGCAAAGGATTTGGCAAATCCTAGATTTGCACATGCTGTAAATACAGCCAAGTCACTAGATGTTTAAGAGAAATCACTGTGGAATCATAAAATGAAATTTTATTAATTACTGCCAACGCTGTCTTTCTTGTTGGCCAGATTTAAAACGAGACACCTATTTCAATCAATTCTCCCTCAGTTAATTGCAATCTTTATTTTTCTAAGTAACACAGTAAGGCTAACAGAATGTAAAGTAACAGCAAGCCTGACGAGGTAAGAAGATAAACATAGCTGCATTTTCAAGTTCTGTGTAACTTCAAATCATGGAGGACTGCCAACACAGAAAAAGAAGGTCACCACAAGCATCACTATGCAACTGGGAAAACAAATTTCAGTTGTTCGTGAGAGAACTGGGGGGGATGGACCTTAAATAAGTCTCCATTTTTGAAGGAAAAACCTGTGTATAACATCTTCAAAAACAAAGAGGTTTTTGATCTCTATTCTGAATCAGTTTCATTAATCAAGCAGCTAATGAATAAAATGGATCTTTGCTCGAAAAGCTCTGCCACACTTTTCACTGCATTTTCTAAAATAGAAGCGTTTTCAAAGGCAGAGTACTGGTATTTAAACCTAAAAAGGAAACGCTCAGAAGATTCATGGCATGGGGAGGAACACATAAATAATGTGGGAATTTGTATCCTTAAGAATTCCCAGCTCTATTCTAGCTATGTGTTAACTTAGTTAGGAGACTTGTTAAAACCAAAAAACCCTCAAAAACACACCCTTCAGAGATGAATCTCTTGTTAAAGATATACCTGGAAACATGCATTTCTCCCCTCGATAGCTGTAATCTTAGTTCATAAACCAAATGGTGAAATCTTACTATTTCATGACTCAAGAAAAAGACACGGTATGCACACAGAAACACACACACAGACACACACACACTGCTTTTAAACACGGAATTTTAATCCCCCCTTAAAACACAAAGGATTGTTTGCTCTATTGCTTTCCATAATATCCTCCTGATATTTTAGTATTTGCCTGGTTTATCAAAGGGCCCAATTCCTGGAAGTTTCCATTGTAAAAGATGAGGTTGAGTGGAGAAACTATACTACTTAATAGCTAATAATTCATGTGGATAAGGGTGTTATTATCAAAGTGAAGCTAAGTTAGCTTCACCAGCAGCTGCTGAAGAGGTTATTGGTGCACATCTACCCAACAGTTCTGAAGAGAGCACGTTTTGCAGCTCCAGTTTTGGACACCTATTAAACCAGAGATACCACACCACAGCAAAAACCCTCTTACAAACACACATATATGGTTTCAGCACATTTAACTTTTGCAGTTTTCCATGAATAACTGAAGTGACACTGCTTTCTGATACTTGTTGTGTCCTCTTCTCCAACTAGGAAGTCAAAAGCTCTCCCAGGCCAGGATAAGCAGAGAGTTGTTATACCTTCATGAAGTTTTCCTAGGCTCTCTAAAGCATCCCAAAGTTGGGAGTGTGCACAGGTACATTGCCATTCCCACCCTCAGTTTATTCAAGAGAGGTCAATACCAAGCTGACAGGGACTCCACGCAGGCTGAAATAACTGCTGGCTGTTCGAGCTACTAGCAGAAACTGGGGCAGAATTAACATAAATTTTCCTTAATGGCAGGAAATCGGTGTAAAATGTAGCTCCACTATAAAATACACTTGATTAAATGGAAGAAGCTAAGCTCAATTGCAACATTGTTCTGGTGAGTGGCATCTCCTTGAAATTTAAAGTTTAAAGCCTATGTGCTCTTGATCACACACACAGTTAGTTGCAAGGAGAGCACATTACGGTGCAGTCTGTGCCATTCCTTTGACAGATTGAGCCCAAACATCCCCTCAGTACCACTGCCTCAGCTATAGTTTAGACAGAGACAACAAATCATTTGATGCACCTTGCAGTAAGAGTTGCATGGCATTACTTGGCAATCATTTATTTTTGCTTGCATCATGCCACATCTACAACAGCTTCTGCATGTTTTTAATTTTTTCATCTTCCCTTGTCTCTTACTAGCATTTTTGCTACTTCAAGCCATAGCACAAGTACCATGTTGCCATATACAAATTTACTGCATCTCACTAATACCTGTCTGACTGAATTCAGAGTTTATGTAGAAAAATAAACTGAAAAAATGTTTATTAATCACTTCCAAACAAGATGTGTCACTCATCTGATGAGTGCATCATGTTCTATTTATCTAACAGAAGACAACAGCATTGAACACCAACACCAGAGTCTTGAAAGTCTTTACACTGTCATTTTCCAGCAAGCATTTTCTTCTTGCTATCTAAATATGTCAGTTGACACAACCCTTTTTATTATCTTCATCTTCCTCTTATAAAACCAGAGCAGAGAATTCAAGTTTCTAGCCCCATAGTCATCTTCCTGCAAATACTGTTTCTGTTTAAAGCATGCACTAATCCAAGATCCCAGGTACACATTCACAAAAAAGTTTTCCACTATCCCTCAAAGGATTTCCTCTTTACATGCAGCACATAAACTTGCATAGGCTCTGCATATTAACTGTGTGGCAACACATGAAACTCCCACACCACACTGAATTTCAAGGACAAAACTTCCAAGATTAAGCCACATTTTCATCAACAACACACAGCTTTTATCATATTCCGGGTTTCGGTAGCTTGAGGATTCTTTCTTCCTTTAATGAAATGTTCTTTGATGACCTCACCTGAATTTTGTTATTACCAAAATGACCTGGATAAACACTGTAGCAAGACAAGCTCATCTTAGTGGTCTTTGGTGAGAGTCACCATCATGCTAGTCTAAGAAGGGGGAATACAGAAATGACTGAAGCAGCGGACTGTCCTGTGCCCTCAAACTCAGATCTGGCATTTAGCAGTTTCTTCATTATCCATCCTTCCACTAATACCTTCCTTCCTCAAGCCCAAACACACCTGTGGAAGGCTTCTAAAAATTCTTCTGAGGGCAACTTAATATCACTGGCTTTTGGGGTTGTTTATTCATAAACCACATTAATAGAACTACGCTTGGAAAAATTATTCCCCATGCTCATGTACCTATCAAACTTATTTTATTTAGCCGACTTGAGCATTGCCCATTTTATTCTTTTTTATGGCTCCTCTAAATTCTATTTGGCTTCCTTTTCACTGCTGTCTTTTAGTTACTATTAATAATACTATTAATAACACTATTAATTGCTCCAAGCACTTAAGATGTTACAGCAGTAAGCTACATCACTGAGCACATAGGATTAGCCATAACAAAAAACAAACACACACAAAACCTTTACAACTTTTTGAAATCTCATGAAGAACAACAGCAAAATCTGTATTAACAAACATGAAAGCAGCATTCCATGTGTTATGGTAGCTGGTTAAAGACTTCCTTCCTTTTATCTAAACTGTAAATCTCATGAGGAAGCCGTAAGTGTCTGGATGAAATGGCTAGTTCTCTCATCAGAAATGAAACACCTGCACACACCCCCGACCAAACGTGCATACCTGCCATTTCAGCTTTGAAGAACTGAATGAGTGATTGGGTGAAAGAAAGAATCCATTTATCCATGATGTTATTGCTCTCCTTAACTGTATTCTCATTGTAAAGGAATTCTCGTCCCTCATCCTATCATCAACATAAGAACACAAAACACATTTTTCAAGTCATATGGGTATATATTCAAATCTCTATATCAAACCACCTCTCAGCCAGTAGGATTTTGTTACCTTCACTGTGTTACACTGGTTTCCTAGGAGAGAACATGAAATTCCAAAAGCATGTGTGTAAGAGATGTAGCTAAGGAAAACCTGACTCCCACTGCTGATGATTTCACCACACTATACCTTCAGCTACAAAGGAGGCCAGTTATTTGGATCTGTTAAACCAGGTAGAGAGAAGTACACCCACAACAATATGCAGTCATTCTTTCCTTGTGTGCAGTGTAAGCCACAGCTACCAGACACAGGCCAGCACTCCCAAATATACCTAACTCCTTCATCTAGGAGTATCTGAAGCATTTACAGAAAAGGTACTATGTAGATGAATTATATTTGGGAAAAGGGCACATGCAGATTGTAGATACTGTTAAGATCATGTGACAACTTCCACAGATTAAAACATAGAAGAACATAACCTAAAAAAACAGGTGGAATCTTTCGGCATCCAACATGCATATAGCACATTCTGTTGCTTTCCAGAACACTGATGTTTGCACCCAACTGAGAAACTGCAAGCAAGACCACAAGTAGCCACACTTGTCAGTGCCTACAGTCTGACTCTTTTCCATGTGAATCTTCTTATGATTAGTTGAAAACAGGAGGTTTAATTTTATTTTTCTTTTTTGGATTTATGAACAGTATTTAACATCTGGTTATAGGAGTCTTTGGACCTGCCCTTCCCCCAGAGTCCAAATGAAAAAAGTCTGTTGGGATTACTCGACTCAGTAATTAAGCATCCACTTACGTAGTTTAAAGGACAAGATTCTTATTAAAGAAATGCATCTGCACACCCAGAAGCGCAGCAATCCCAGTGTGAGGTCAGCAATCATTCAACCAACTACAGTTACTGTGGTAATTACAGCAAGCATAAGATTAGACTTCATCCACAACACTGGGATTGTAGCTTCTCTGTTGCAGGAGGCAGAACACAATGAAAAAGTTGTTTAAGCCTCTGCATGAAATCTAGCACTATCACCTCCAATAGCACATCCTTTTGCCTAATATGGTGCATAGGAATAGTTTCACAATCTATTCAGAAAGAAAAATTACTTCTACTGAATTACCAAAACTCTTTGCTTAGGCACATGGATTTTCCACTGGGGTCTCCCATCTCCAATTTGGCTGATTTTGCAAGATTTAATGGGATCACAGCAAAAAGCTGCAAAGCACTTTAAACAATTCAAAGTTCAAACATGAAAACTTGAAGTATACTTCTGGGCAGTGAATAAGTTTGTCTGATGAATGCTGCCTAGGGATCCTAAGATTTCTTAAATATTAGGATCTCAAGTTACCAGACTTTCTTCCCAAAAGGTGTTGTTAAAAAGATGAAACCATTTATTTAAATCAGCCATTTACTGTACTATTTACTGAATGCCTTTATTGCTTCAGCTTTCCAGAGTGATTAGGCTCCTACTATAATTTCTGGTGTGGTACAAGGTTTGAACTTTTTCCCATTCCTCCATTTGAATTAGTTCCCATTCTTCCATGTAAGTCTGCACTAAGAAGTGGTAACCTTCTATCATTAATCTCAGATGAAAGATTAAAACTGGTTTCAACAGAAACTATACAATATACACATAAAATACTCAATTTAAATGAAAATTTACTATCAGAAAGAAATTTCAATCTTGCTTTAATTTTGAAAGGGTAGAAACTCATGTCAGTCACTCAGCATTTTTTAGCAGACTTCAAGTGTAATTTTCAAGTCTAAGGCATTATTGCTTTTATGATGATTTGCCTTTCTTCCCATTCCATTTCTTCCCCCCATCCCCTGGAGTTGTATTTAAATTTAAGAAAAATTAACTGTCATGTTAAAGATGACAATCTTCTGGCTGCTGCTAATGTATTCAGTATGGAGTATTCCCAAGTTAAACATTTTTATGCAGATTCATAATTAAAGTTACAGTAAATGAGTTAGCTCAAGAAATCATCACAGCAGCCAATACTGAAAATAGCTTTCTTTACATTACTTATTTGCAGTTCCATTTGTGTTAGGTCTGTATGCTGTTAAGCAATGTCCTCTGATGGCATCCTTCCTGCAACATAGCCATTCCTGACTACATAGCATGGGGCAATGGCAAAAAGCAGCAGCAGCAGCACTCAAGGCAGTATTAGTGACACCTGCTGCCTCCAAGCTGCTACGCAATCACTGATAAGAATTAGTAATAAACCAACAAGGCTTATTATGGACATTTCAGAAGGATTCCCTCAAGCACACATGGTACCTGGCTTTTAACTGGTGTTCCCAGCAAGGTGACTGGCAGCAGATAATTTCTTAGTACGTATTAACCCCACAAACTCGAAGTCCCTATCAATAGATGCAATAACATCATGCTCATCTCAAATAAGAGGGAACCAAGAGCAGCCTAATCTAAGAATGGATAGCTGTCATGTCTTGACAGCCCCTACCTTACAATCCTCTTTTCTATAGCATATAAGCTTGGTCAAGGAGAGAAAGATGCAGGGTGGTTGTAGCTGTATAAAACATGATACAAACAGCAAACACCATAGAAATTCACAACAAATATATACAACCTGACCTAACTTTGAAGTCAGCCTTGCTTTGAACAAGGCGGTAAAGATCAGATGACCTCCAGAGTCAGAGTCCAAACCTCTCTTCCAAACTAAATTTCTCTACAATGCTAATTCACTCTTAACAGCGGAGAAGGCACAAAGCCCTTTCCACTTTGCTTTTCCACACTCAAGACATCTGTACCTTATGTTGCAGGATCTGAACATTCTGAACAAGAAAGCGGTATGCATTGTACCAGGGCAGGAAGACATCCTTCAGTATATCCCTTACTCCTTCCTCTTTAAATCTCAAGTTTTCTGCTCTTACCACAGGAGAATTGATCAGGTATAACCTGCAAAATAAGAACACAGTACTCAACAGCTTAAAACTACATATACCGATAGAAATGCACTTAAATGTACCATAAATCCTATAGAGCTGCACAGCAAGAGACAGATACCCAAGGGAACAGTTTCACACTAAGAATTCTGAAGAAGACATCATTGTAAGCATGTAACATACTGAACATATGACAATGTACTTCCTAGTGGACAGGGATATTTTTATGATGCTGCTTATGGAATTTGAATTATTTTTTTTTCCTTTTTTACTCTAGAAGTTAATTGAAATGCTAACACATGCTCGGATGCTATCACAGTTAAAACAAGCAGTGGGTGCATGGAATTAATAGGCTGGGCTGAAAGAAGCTTTGAGTAACCTGGTCTAGAGGAAGGTGTCCCTGCCCATGGCAGGGAGTTGAACTAAACGAGCGTTAAGCTCCCTTCCAACTCAAACCAGTCTGGGATTCTATGCTCTTTAGAACGACACCCATTGCTTTGGTAATATTTTGAACTCCTTCACAACGAAAAAGTACCTTTCTATTCCATCTAGCTCATTTCCTCACTTATAAAAAGCTTTGCACCCACTGCAAACGCAGGGCTAAGGAGCAAGGCAAAACAGGCAGATCAAAATCAAAGAGCAGAAATTAATGTTTTTAAGGAAAAACAGCCCCAAAAGAGAACAAAGGATGTAGCTCCAATCAATACAAATGTGCCTCAGCTCCTGAAACAGCTGATAGAGCATAGCAGAGGATTCAGGTGATGCTGACTACTACCAGCAGCAGCCCCTCACAGAATCACACCCACATCAGCCAAAGAAGTTCATCTATACATGAAATCCACCCCATCTAGGGAGAGATTCTCCCTAAGGTCAGTCTCTCTCAAGCTATATGTTCCTCATTTCCCAGAGACAAACACATCCCTGGCTTCCTTGCTAGCTCCGAGTTTGCAAAGAATCACCTTTATACTACATTCCTTCTTCTTCCTTAAACAAAAATTCTGACTGCAGAGAAAAAAAAAAATGTATCTATAAAGTTAACTCAAAAAGAAAGCAGGTATTACCCAGGCATCAAAAAAACTTGAACATAAACTTGATTTAGATACACTTCATTAAATTTTCCAAATATGAAAACCAAACATTTTCTTATTTTGAAGATTGATGTATTTCTCAATAGAGATTTATTTACTCATTTGTCACATTTCATCAGCTTTTAAAATCATGATTCTAAACTAATACATCTTTACAAGGACTTCCTTTAGGAGGCTTTAAAACCTTAATGGGGTTTAACACAGCACATTCAAGAATACCAGACCATAAATTCTTCAGGAGAGAGCTTCTTGCGTAAAAAAGAATGCATAAAAATAGAGTTGCCAGAGTAAGCGGACAGTAATGCAGCACAGAAATAGGCATTTTCAGTACTGTACTGGGGGGGGGAAAACCCCAACTTTAAATATTACATCTGAATTGAAATTATGAATTTGCAAAAGTACAGAACAATTAACCATGATAGTGAATAAGTCCTTAAATGAAACTAGAATTTGTAAGTATATGTTTAAACTAAACCTCCCATCACACTTATTTGTATGCTTATTATTCTTTATTTCAGAAGTCAAACATAACTTTGCTCTGAATACAAGAGCTAGTCTGGCCCCAGGGTACACTAGGATGCTCCAGGCCTTTTACTAGTTTGGGACTTACCCAGAGTAACAACCACTTCAAATATTCCCTCCACTCCTTTCCTCCTGAGGAGGCTGCAATGCTAACTAATCAGAGCAATGAAGGATCCCCTAAATTGCTAATTGAAATCCCCTAATTGCACCCACCTCAGCAGCACTCACTTAAGAATCTATTAGAAGTCTTCTTAATATAGTTCTTTGCATGAGCAATTGAACTAAATGACTAAAGTAGCTCTCTAAGGCTACAGTTTTGGTTTTGTGGGGGTTTGGTTTTCTTTTTCTGGAGAGGGGGAGGTGTTGGCTGGGGTTTTTTTTGTTTGGTTGTTGTTGTTGTGTAAGCCCTACACTGTCTTACAATATGTAAATGTTAAAAGAATAGTAATTTCCTGAATTATTCCAGTGCGAAGATACTTAACACTTACCATAGCAGCCCTCCAGTATCTTAAGGGGGCCTACAAGGATGCCAGAGAGGGACTCTTCACCAGAACTGTGGTGATAGGACAAGGAGTAATGGGTTTAAACTTAAACAGGGAAGTTCAGGTTAAACACAAGGAAGAAGTTCTTTACTGTGAGGGTGCTGAGGCACTGGAACAGGTTGCCCAAAGAAGTGGTACATGCTCCATCTCTGGCAGTGTTCAAGGCCAGGTTGGACAGAGCCTTAGGCAACCTGGTCCAGTGTGAGGCGAACCTGCCCGTGGCAGGTGGTTGGAACTGGATGATCTTAAAGTCCTTTCCAACCCAAACTGTCCTATGATTTGTGATATAAATGTAATTATGCAGACACCTAGTATTTTGGCTAGATGCACTAACTACATGCATAAAGTGGTATCTTGAGATAAAGGTACAATAAAGACATTTTAATAACTGTGGGAGTACACTACTTGCACATTTCTCAAGAGCCCTGTAATTCTTGCTATATATAAGAAAACCTTCAACTATCACACATGTTGAATTGTATGTTACAATTATACATGGTAATGATCGGGCTGAATGAAAGCTTAGTGTATTGTGGGTTTTGGTTTATTTCAGAAAGACGGTGGTTGGATGTTCTAGGTAATGAAAAGAAATAGATATGAAACTCCTTATTTCAAGCTTTAGCATTTTAAAGACCTAGTAATTCACCTTCTCATATATGTTTATAATGGAGAGTTGGGTGGATTTCTTAAAATCAGTCAAGACTGTTCCTTACAAATAACCAAGGTTTATTAGCAGAATATCAGTGAATTGGTAGCTGCAACAATGTGGGTGAAAAGGGTTGGAGTTACTCATATTGGAGATTTTTAAATCACAGATGATGTCTCTGTTGGAAAAAATCTGCCTTTTTTTAGAAAACAAACAAAAAATCTCAAACACCAGAAGTTACATTTTCATTATTCATGTTTTTTTGATTTCTAAAAGCTAATTCATTTTTCTTCCTGTGTACTTATTCTTTAATGTCACATTTATTTATACATACACCCACATAGAGAGCAAAAAGCATTGCAGACTAGGTTCATTTATGGAAGGAGCTCTGCGATTCACTTGTCTCTGCTTATTCACTGAAGCGCTTGATGTGTTCTGTTTATAGAAAAAGCTACTACTGAGTTTTTTAGCTTGGCACTGTTTCCCTGCAGAGTTACTTTAGCTTTTGCAGTACATACATATATATATATA